CCCGCTTATTCAGCTGGCACCAGCGTCTGCCTTCCGGTTGAATGGAGGTGTAGGTTGTAGCCGTGTTGGTCTCAGGACATACTTTTTATAAGACTTACTTATTTTTTAAATTTTTTAAATTTTTATTTTAAATTTTTATTATTTATAATTTTTTATAAGAATAAGGACAAATTTGTCCAACCCTTTAAGTTGGTCTAATAAAAGCTATCAGATTCACCCGAAGAACCTTGTCTGCCAGTTGAATGGAGGAACTTCAGAAACAGTGTTTCCACAATGACTTCCATCCATGAAAAGGTTATTTAAAATATAGAAACGATTTGTCTATCAGGGGGCGGTTTGTGAGCCTTGTTTGGGTGGAAATCAGTCCTCATCCTTTCATTGTCAAAGCTGTTCTTTTATGGTGCCATCCAAATCGCACAAAAATACTGTCCTAAAACCACATGAGTTTGCGTGCAAATACTAGTTCTCCTTTAACTAGATCAAAACAGAGCGTGTCAAATCTGGGTGTCAGAGGTCTTAAGCTGCACCGCGCAGATGAGGATCCTCTTTTAACCCCCTTGTTGAAATCTTAATATGTGGAGAAAGGGAATCTGCGTGCTGTTCCTCCTGGCGCTTGGCTGGGCCGTGCAGCCTAGCAGCCGGCATGACATGCTGCCGGGCCACAGACTTCCCAGTATCTGAAAACAAAATCTCTTCTCTGCTACCTGGTTCTTAGACTGATGCTTTTAAGTTCTGTGTCTTATCATGCTCTGAAGCCAAAGATAGTCAGATAGTCAAATAACTGAGCTACATGGTCTGGGATGGTTTTCACTCATATCTGCAACCTGGCTCTAAGAGAAAGTCATTGTCTTGGCAAGCTCCAGGCAGCAGCATCTCCTTCCAGCTACATATGACACAGCAAGCAGAGGAGAGCTCAGTGTGCTAATGAGAAGCAAAGGCTTGCCTTCTCCTAATACCACGGCAGGAAGAATAGATTCACGAGATATGATGTGGCATGTTAAAGATGCACTCAAAGTGGTTAATTAGAAACCTTCTGTCATAGTCAGTAGGGCGTGTTTGGCTCACTTAGAAACCAAACCAAGTAGCTAAAAGGGACGTTGTGGCTGAAACGAAAGCCACAGCTGAGCCTGTTTACTTTATATCTCTTCATCTCGTGCGCCTTTTGGGAACGCAACCGCAAAACATTTTATTGGGCTGGCTCAGAACAAATGTTGTCAGTTCCCATAAACTATTGCTTATGGGAAAAGCATTGTGTTAGCTGTGCATCTTTGATCCTCTGGCCCGCGCTCTGTGTAAGTGCTCGTATAAAGAGCAAGGCCGTTTGCATGGGTTTTACAAAACCTTCAGACATGCTCCTGACTTATAGGCAGCTGTACAGAAAGCACCCGGCATCCCTTGCTTAGCACAGTAAGTTTCCCAAATGGGGTTTGCATGTGGTCTCCCAGGGAGGTCCATCTTGTCGTCTAACTCTGAGCCCAGACTTGATGTAGCAAAACACTGAGTCACTGAGAAACCGAGTCACTACCAGACTGTATCTCCAGAGCTAAGTCTTTTGGGCAGAGGTTAAAGTGGCAGTCGTCAGCCACCAAGGGAACATCCTGACCTGCTGAAGCCACCTGAGGCTATTGCAAACACTGCTTGTGCTGGATCCACCTCCCCAAGCTGGAGCTGCTGCCTCTGCCCCATACCAGAGCTGCCACCACATGCTCCACGCTGGAATTGCTGCTGCCATCTGTCCTGGGCCAGACCTGCCACCACGGGCTCCAGCCCAGACCTGGGTAGTGAGGAGCCTCACGATCCATATCTGGCCTGAGGCCCAGGGTGAGCTTGACACTGATGGACTTCAGCATCGAGCCTTGTGTCATATTGACCACGGATTATATTAAGCTCCTTGTCCCTTGGCTGAGCGCTTTCTGCTGTTGAGCAACAAAATAAGCCATTAGTCCTCAGCATAGCAGTTCCTTTCCAGCTAATGATCTGAATTGGGGATGGGGCTAAGAAGGGAGGTCAGGCTTAAGTGCACAAGGTCAGAGCAGCTCAATGTTGTCTGAAGCAGACACAGTCATTAGTGGCAGAGGAGGCTCACTCCTGCCGGCCGACTGGCCTTCTGGTCTTCCCCATTAGATCACCGAATGCACTGCGGTCAGTGGGATGTTGTGTAAGCCACTGTACACTGTGCAGGCTACCTGCAACTCTAGGCATTGTTTACTGCATAAAGAGATATCCACTTATTATTTAAGGCCAGAGCTGAGTGAGAAAGGAAAATATAGAGCGTTAAAATGATTACCGGTTCAGTTCCCTTTCTCCTACTCGAGCACGTGTAAACTGTAATTATCTCACCACTTGAATAAAATAGTTAAAATGCTCATTGCCCCTTATGATTCAGGTCTGGCACATTTACCTACCGATAGAGCTGTAGAGAAAATTCACCTTGCACAGGCCTGTTAAATGGTCTGCAGTAGTTGGTTCAAAGCGCGAGTAGAAGAAGCAGAAGAGCTTCTTTGAGTGATTGCAATCCATCAGGAGATGTACGTGCGCCGTCTGGTCCATTCCTCCTCTCAACCCTGCAGTCTGCTTTTTGCAGCTCTAACTCCCCAGTTCTAACCAGCGTCCTCTATATTTTGTATGCATCTTCTCATGTACGAGTTGACAGTGATAAATGGGGTTGAATGTGATCTCCTTGCGTCATAGGTAAGCAATTCAAAGATGAAGCACAAGGGGCTATGTCCTTTACCTGAGTGACTCCAATTTGGGTATATTCTGCTTAGGCGTAGATTGAGTCTCATTTTTTCTTCTCTGATTACAGGTGATGCTCTGTCACTAAAAGAAAGATCTTGTTCAGGTGCAAACATGGGGCTAGATTTGGGCTCAAACCTTCAACCTCTTCGTCTGGGTCTAGACCAGTGGTTCTTAACCTTTTTAGACTCAAGGCACCCCTCTTAGCTTTTAATTTTTTTCGTAACTATGGGAAAATAATAGAGCAATTCTTCTGTTGCAGAGAGCTCAGAAAGACTACAACCGGGCAGACTGTTTTTGACACCGGATTCTTATTTAAAATCTCTACATTTTGCATTAAGTCTAGGTGTTTGCACACCTAACAGCTAATATTGTGTGGCACCCTGTGGCACCCTTAAAAGGATCTCGTGGTACCCTGATTGAGAACCATCCATCTCAACCCTCAGCCCGTCTCTTGTTCCTAATGAATCCCAATTTCACGGGTGCCGCCACGCTGTTCTGCTTGGGTTTCCCAGAACAGCTCATTTTGCTTGATCTGATGAAAATGCTTCTGTTCTTCTCAGGGTACATTTTGAAAAGGATCAGGTCTGTGAGCATAAAATGGGGTCACAAGAGTGCCCCCACTATTGTGCAAGTCAGGTGAATATAGGTGTAGCTTGTGAGTGGGACCCCACTTCTTTTCCGTGCTGTCACAGGGTGATAGCAATATCAGTCAGCTGCATCTCTGCGGGGGCAGAGGCTGTAGCGGTCCTCCCTCTGAACATTGAAGCCAGTGGGATGTTTCATCTCCCTTCTGCCCAGGCACAGCTCCTGTCCACTTTGATTCTGCTGAACGAGAGCAAACCAGGGTTCAGCCTCTCTCGGCACAGCCCATTACATAATCCAGCCCTCTGCTTACGTTCCTGCTCTGATGTAATTGCCCAAGCCCTTTGGCCTGTAGGCATTTTGGTTCCCTGTTTTGAAATACAGAATCTGTCTCTCAACAATGTGTGAGTCCAATGTTAGCAAGTTGTATGGACTCGTTAGCTGCTTCAGAAGGAGGGCTTTTTTTCCCTTTCTCTTAACTTCCATGCAGTACCATGAACAAAGATAACCCCCAACCTATACAACCTGGCTCAGAATGTCACCCTGGTTATTGCACTGACAGATGAAAGGCTTCGATTAAATAATGTTCTGCAACAGTGAATTTGGCAAAAGCCACAGCTTTCAGATTGAAGGTCTGGGTTGGTTGCATATAGGCCTTGGGCTAGTGTAACCCCATTGGTGAACAGATGTTACATACTGACTGCCTGGTCCGTGCAAGATATGGGTTGGTTACAGGCCCATTTAGAGAGCTTTCAATCCATTTACAATAGCTCTTGATTTTTCTATGCTGAGATCCCTTATACAGTCCTTGGTGTCTCAGTCACGTTGGTGTCCACCCAACCTCCTTGTCACAGAGGTGATGCCATCTGCAGAACGTGGTGGATACACCTGCTTCCATCATTCCCCTCTCTTATTTCACAACAGGACACAGCATCCCACTTTCATTTGCAAAATTTTATGCATTGTGAAGAGGTTTATTATGGTTTGAATTATGGCAGTGTGCAGTGGTGGGGGCCTGTCATCATCCACAGCTAAGCTGCTGCCCCCAGAAGCTCACCGTCCAAGAAAGACATGCTTCATGTGCTTCATTCAGTGCAGCTGGGATGTGATGGGACTTGCCATACTGGGTTTTCATATGCTCTGTTACCAGACTGTGAGGATTCAGGCTGGAGTAGAAGATGCCCCATGTGGAGCTCAGTCTGGGGTTTTCCCAGCCTGCGTTACTGGGAAATGGCCCCGTGTAAAGCCTGGTGTTGGTAGTACCTCCAAGCCCACGATGTGATGTCACTAGGGACTTTCATGACCCAGAAGGGCAGTTGTGGAGTATGAAGGAGGATAAGATGTGGAAAATCACCCAGCTTAGACAGCATGAGGTTTCACCAGAGCTTTATAGCCAAGGAGATTCTGTTGGGGTTGTGACTTCCTCAGGCCTAGCTCAGATACTCTCCCACAGACTGGTGCACATGTGGAGCACGTCCACAGGAGCCAATAAGAACAACTAACCATTATACATCCACATCAGGCCTTTACTTTGGGCCAGATTCACAGCTACTTGCAATTTAAAGGGGACAAAGAATAAGAATAGCAAACTTGCTCCAGGTGAGAGCTTCTTAGGAGACTGATACATCTCAGTTCTGGATCTGATCCTTTTTTCCTCTCCTTTCTTTGTTTTTTCCAGGACATGGTCAAGGTTACAAAGGGAACATCTGCCTGAAATTTGAAACCAAGGCAAGGGGAATTGTGAGTATGTATTCCTGCTGCTTTGATGCCATTTATGTGTTGGGAGCTTGAGAAGATAGAAGTTATTCTCCTGATGTTGTATCCTCCTCAAGGATACACTTGTGGTGCCTGACCCCATAGGATGCTTAGCATGATTATAAGCATGATTAAATAATGGTAACCTACAGGCTGCTGGTACTATCAGCCATTATGGATGCTGGGGGGGAGAGGGTGTTCAGTGCCTGGTGGTTTGGGACACTGATGAGTCAGAAAATCCAGATTTAACAAAATAAGAAATCATTCGTCTTTTAAAACAAAGTAACATTTTAAAGGGACGGCACTGCATATTGTTTCTCTCCATAAATCTGTCAAAACTATAATCATGTTTTACAAATGCACATCTTTTCTTTCATGTTGTAACTTCTACAACCTGCCAGTGAGAGGAGGAGACAGATATTTTATCAGCCGTACAGATCTGTGATTTGTTTAAATGTTTTTAACCCTTTGGTGCATGCTTTGGGATTTCCTCATGTCTTGCCGATACACATCTGTGCAGAGGGCTCATGGCTTGGAGTTTCCCTGGCAGTCATTCAGCAAGAAAACAACTCCAAGTGCTAATGAGAACAGGACCAGATCCTGAGTTGGTGCAAGTTGGCCTGAGCTGCATTGCCCTGGGCTGGGCTGGGTCTGGACCATACAGCTGAAGTGGTCATTGTTTTTTTCATCGGCCAAATCCTGAGTGGTGCTGAGCTCTTCTTGGGTGCCTGCAACTCCCAACTGATGACAGGGGGCCAGACCTGAAGGTCTTTCAGTCTGCTGAAAGTCAAAGTGTTACATG